ATGGCTTAGATTCAGCATGTCTGGGTGGCAGCTTACAAAACTTAGAGAAGGAACATTGCTGTGCAAGAAGATGGCTGGTACGTGCAACAGTATTGTATGTTTAGAGGGAGAAACTGGATACATGGGAGAAACTCTGATTATTGTGGAACGGGGTAACACAGGGGACAAAAATTACACTGGTTAATCCAAGCATGGAGAAATTTGTTTAAAAGTGAGTTAACCTATTGACATAGTTTAGCCCCAGCCGCAGCTGGGGATGGGCAGGAGAACAGGGAAGACGAAGGCAAAACCCCGTGGGTTGGGATAAGGACGGTTCACTGGGACGGCAAGGGAGAGGGAAACAACAACAACAGCAGTGCTGATAATGGAATGTTCACAACGGGTGACAACAGAAAGCAACTTACCGATCCAACAACCCCCCCCCGCAGCCCGTCCCGCAGCCACACCGAGCCCACCCCTGCCCGACTAGCCCCCTTTTATGGGGAGCATGACATCACACGGTATGCAATAGCCCCCTGTCCAGCTTGGCTCACCTGTCCTGGCTCCTTGGGAAAATTAACTCTATCCTAGCCAGAACCAGGACATTCTATATAATTCTGGGAAGATAAATTCAATAACACAAATTGGTGACTATTAGGAATATACTAAAATACTTGACCTCTGAGCTAAATAGGTAAAAAATTATTATTTTCAAATGAAAATGGATTTTTCATGTAGGTCTGCTTGTATTCGATATGATTTTTAAAAATTTAAAATGTGCTTAAATTACATTTAAGTTTATGAATATCTGTCTTAAAAGAAAAACCTGCTATCAGTTAGTGATGTCATTTGCATAAATTAAAAAATAAATATAATGCTCATGAACCCTTTTCAATTCTCATTATTTTAATGAGTTAAAAGGTATGCGAAGGCAAGGGAAAATATATTATTTTAGATCAATGTGATGGCAGCTACTGAATATATTAAATACTTTATTTTCAGCTATTACAGCATGATTTCATCTATTTTAATGTAAGTACAGAGTGCAGACATTTTTTGCTTTAATTACTTTTGCTCTCAATTGCAATAGCAAAAACAAAGAAAACTTTTTTTGTTTGAGTTTGGTAAGCTGACTTTGAGTTTGAAAACATTATTTTTCTCTTCCAGTATACCAATACAAAATAATGGAGAAGAATAGGAAATCTTATTTAAAAGAGAAAGAAAATGCTCTCAACAAAGCTGTTTTTAACTTATGTAGGTACTTAAAACACAGGCTTGTATCCAAGTGACATTTTCAGATATACATAAACATATACAAAGGCAATTATGTGATTATGAAAATCCTATCAGACACCATCTATATGATTAAATATATAAATACTTTTGAAACTTTGGCCTATTGTGTTCTGAAATTGGATTAAACATAGTTAAAAATTGTCTTCTGTAAGCAGTCATTTAACATTCAAACATATTTGATAACCTTTATTGGATACGTGTGTCCATCATATTTCATGGTATTTAACTCAGGAAAAAGACTTTTGTGGGTTTTGAGCTGCACTCTAGATTCTATTCCACTTGAGAGTAAACACAAGTAATTTAAAAAAAAAAGAAAGCATTTTTAACCATTTTCTACCACAAAACAAATTTGAAAATCTAGATAAATATACTTTAAACAATTGTTTCCATATATAACGTATCAACCTGACAAGGAAAAAGAAGAGGAAATCTTTGTGCTGCTTGAAAATCTATTTATTTTAAAGATTATTCCAGCTGATGAAAATGACCCTTTCTTTCTGAAGTAAAATACGAATGCAACACAAGATTAGCATCAATTATCTAAATCAGCAATTCTTCCTTGCTGATTTAAATCACGATTAAAATGAAGGCTTTAAATCAGTTTGATTCAAAGAAATCTGCCTTACTTATGAGTACTTGATTAAGCAGTGTTAATGACCAATTTATGTGATATTTTTGCATTCAAATGTCATTGATTTCAGGAGGAATACATAAATTATTAATCTTTGCTTCTCAAATATTATTCCCAGCATAATATGGTTTTGAACCACAGGTACACTAAGCTTATGTTAACTTTGGTTGCGTAAACCCCTTGATTACCAAAACAGTGAAGAAATTCTCTAAAGTTAAATTAAAGATAAAATCTTACACACCTTCCCTAAACGTTACATCAATTGAAGGCGTGGAAAGACTCACACTCAACAGCTAGCTTTCCCCATGGAGAAAGATGCTGCCATTGGTTTGTGGTCTAGTTTTACCTGGTGGTACCTTCTGCCAGATGAATTCCCTAAATTCTGCCAGCAAAGACGTTTGCATAAGCATTCCCTAATGCATGCCATTAAGTTGAATGTAGTTGTTGTGCAATCATTTAAATGCTTTAAATAGTGTCTGTTGATTAATCCAGTTGGTATGAATGAAATAGTTTAGGAGCCAGAGCAGAATGTGGGTATAAACTTTCCCACTAGCACAGGTAGATTTAAAAAAAAAAGGATTTTTGTCTACAGCAAGGGATGCCAGATCTTCAGGGTTAACCACATTCTTATTCTAGAGCAAATCAGCAAACACATTTTAAAACATAAACCAGCTGATAACATATCAT